TATATTTTTAACATTCTTTTGAGTGTGGGAGGCCCGGACTCTCTCCAGTCCCCTCCTCCCTCCATCCTGATTAGGATTGAATCTAAATGGATTCGTGTCATAAATGAGCGATCTATATATGACATGAATTTAAATGAGCCATATTGTGGATTGACTCGTTTAACTTGAATAACCTATTTAATTAAGGGTAAAAAAATAATTTCACATATAATATATATACTGACCGGGTTATATATGTGTTATATGAGTCATTTTGATTGCATATAGATATGAAATGTATCATTTTTAATAGTAAAACTGGACAAGTAGGAAAGTAGGTATCTGAACGCTGGATTTTATGAAATTAAATGATTATATATTAAAAATTATTTAATATTATATACAAATGTTAGCCATCATTATAAAAATTGAGTTGAAGTATTAGTCATTTAATGTTATAGTTTAATAGTAATATTATGGTTATAATCAAGTTCAAATTTAATGTTAGTTCTTTTAATTTCAATTATAAAATATTGGTCCTTAATGATAATTAATAATTTCATTGGTCATGTCAAAAAAAAAAAAAAAAAAATTCATTGGTCATGTGATAAATCTTTCCTAACTAAAAAAGAATATTTGAATGGACAAAAGTGGTTTTAAACTTTATATTCAAATAATATCATATACGTACTCGATGTAAAATTTTTTTAAAACATCACATTTTAATATCAGAAATTTAATAAAAAAAAGACAAATATTATTAAAGATTAATGTTCAAATTCAATTAAAAATGTTTATATTTTAATCAACTCATTGATATGGTACTTATCTTTTTAACTAATTGGAGGCTTTTAAGGGCCGAAATAACACTGCCTACCCTTTCCTTGACTTACCAAATTAGTAAAAATAACTGTGATCGAGAGGATTTAAACTCAAAACCTCCCATTTTTCACATAAATAAAAAGATCAACTAGAACACCACCTGATTGGCTGATATGTTACTTATCTTTAAACTTTTCAAATCAAATAAAAAAATATTGATTTAATTTCTTTTTGACTTTCCACTTTTTATCATGGATCCATTTTGGTCCATAAATATAAAATTTTCTTTATTCTCTCAGCTTTTTAAAACCAAATTTGTGTGCATACTTTTGTGAAGTTCAGGACTAATTTTCTATCCGACAAACATATATAATTAGTATTTATTATATAATTATTAAGTAGTTATTTGTGGAAAATATTCATTTCTATTTAAAATTTTTAATTAATCATATAAATAAAATATCTTTTGTCAATCATATGTGATGTGATTGATCTTTTCACTTATGTGAAGAGTGAGAGGTTTCGAATTCCTCTCAATCACAATTATTTTCATCAATTTATATTCAAAGAAGGGCTATTGTGTAACCCATAGTATTATTTCGGCTCATCTACCCTCTGAATGAATTAATATATATATATATATATATATATAGTTATTATTTCGGCTCATCTACCCTCTGAATGAATTAATATATATATATAATATATATTAATATATATATATATATATATATATATATAGTCTTGTGCATGAGTTGTGTGGTACCCATCTTTTAAGCCTTCAAGAGCTTTCTACAGAACCAATTAAAAAGAATATATTCTATTATGGGAAAAGTAATGCGTGCATGTGGGAGAAGCTAAAAGTTGCATCAAAATCTTGATTTCAAGATATTCTTGAATTGGTTATAAATATAGATTTCAAACCGCAGAAATAAGCATCTCACTTATTGAGCATGAAATCAAGAAAAAGAAGAGAGGTCTAAACATGAATAGAAGAGTCTTATTAGATAGCCAAGGATGACTTGCCTGCTCCTAGCCATTTTGGGTGTATGCACTGCAATCTCAACCCTAATGTAGAGTTATCGGGCAGTCACCTTGGCTAATTTGATAGCCTCTTCTTTGTCATGCTAGACCTTCTCTTCTTTGACTAATGGTCTCAATTATAGAATTATGAGTTTATGAGTTCGAGGCTTGGTGTGGAGATAGTGAACGTAAATATGTCTATCCATTTTGCTGAGCTGGGGAATACTATTTTAGAAGATAAAAGAAGAGAAGTCTTACATGAAGATAAGAGTCTTATTTGGTAGCCAAGGATGACTTGCCCGCTCCATCTAATAAGTTCTTACGTTAAAACTTTCCGGCTGGCTCCGGGCAGTCTCCTTGGCTATTCTAATAAGCTCTTCTCTTTCATGCTAGCCTCTCTATTCTTTCTTGTATGAATGTTTATATCAGTCTGCCTGCTTTCAGGTATATAATTCTATTAGATGATGTAATAAATGTTTATTTGTTTGTTTATTTATTTATTTATTTTTATCAGGAATTGAACTCTACATGCAATGAGGGATAGCTTGTCTTCTTATCAAAATACAGTCTACTCGAACTGAACATAAGATCTTCCTGCCCATGTCAAACAATGTCTTTGAATCAAAATTGCAGCTTGTTGGTCCTTAAGCTAGTCATGATATATAAAACATGGTGTAATCTTTCTTTATCTTGTACTATCTATTCCTCAAGCTCTAAATTATTTCTTTGTAATACAATAAAGTATATTCTATGATTTATAAATATTTATTATTTACCAAACAATTAAATAATTTGCAATCAGTAGTATATATTTGATGGTAAAAATTATTTTGTAAATGTTAAAAAAAAACAAAAATAAAATTGTACCCCGTAACACTATTAATTAATAATGGGCCGGACTAGAATTCGAATTACATATTAATTGAAAAGAAGGTATTTCTAATCATACGCTGAAAATTAAATCAAATAAATAAAAAGTTAGTAAATAATTTTTTAATTATTTAATTGTAAATATCTCAAATATCATATTTTAAATGTATAAATATCTCACTCAATAGATGGAATATAATTTGATATTCAATGAATATTTAAAATTTTATTTTTATTATTAAATTTTTTTAATATAATGAAAATACTTACAATTCCGCCTTTAATTGCAAATGAGGGTATTATTGCTATAAAGATCGAAATTGGAGCAAAATTGAGAGAAAAACCAAAATAAAGTGAAATTACAAAAACTTGCAAAATTTAGATTATCATGGTACATGATACATTAGGCCTAAATAAAATATTATCATTAGGTTTAGTAGAAAAACCAGTGGTGCAAATAGCACTTTTTAGGAATAAGATTCCAAAAACAGAAAGTCAATGAGATCGAGATTTTCCTTTAGTGGCAAGAACTTTGACTTTTGAATGGTCCATCTCATGTGGATTGACATGCCCTTGGGAATCGTGACCCGTGAAGAAAGAATAGAAAAAGACATTTTCCTACAAACAGAATATCACTTTCCTATTTTAGATAAAAACTTATTTCATCAATAATACTTTCCAATGACTTATGGAAATAATAAATCACTTATCTATATTGAAAGGCTCTAATATGTAAATTCATATGTATAAGAATAATACTATTCAATCGATTTTCAAAACAACTTATATAGAAAAAAACTTTGTATACATTAAAAAAAGATAGAAAAAGCTTTATAGACAATAAATATACTATTTATGTGTTGACTCAGTTGGCAATGCAAGATGGACACGTATGAAGAGCTCTCGAATTCAACCCTTATTAAGGGTCACTCGTAATTTGATTTAAATAGTCTTAATTTGATGGGTGACTACATGTTACTATTTTTGGAGATTAAGAGGAAAACAAAATGAAATAAAGTGCATACACTTACAAGAGGAAGAGAATATATTCCAATATGGGCACCTCCATACATAAGAATGGTGGCAAATTAAGACACACATATCAACATAGCAAAATATGAATCTAAACTTTTGTTATATTCTTTTGATCCAAATAGGCCTATATATAAATAGAGATTTCTTTTATGTATAGCTAGCATCATCAGCATCCCATTTGAGTATGGATTTTGGGAAAGAGTGGTATAGCATGAAAATGAGAGTCTTATTTGTTTGGTAACCAAGGACGACTTGCCTGCTCCTAGCAATTTGTGTTTTGTCATTAAGCAATATATATATATATCCTGCTTCTCCTTAGCAATTTGTGTTTGTCATTAAGCAATACTATATATATATATTATATATTATATAATATATATATATATAGCCTTAATTGCTAACTTATATAAGTATAATTACACAATACTCCCTCTATTCCAATATATATATATAGCCTTAATTGCTAACTTATATAATTACTAATTACACAATTACTCCCTCTATTCCAAAATATAAGTCGTTTTTAAATAATTATTTTGTTTCGAAATATAAATCATTTTGAGTATTTTAAAGGGTATAAATCAATATTTTTTCAATATTACTCTTATTTATATTAAATATAATGAATATTCTCACATATAACTATTGATTTTGAGATAAAAGATAATTTAATCAAGTTACCTTTAATTTTATTATAATTTAAGAAAATTAATTATTTCCTTAATCATTATATAAAAACCTTAAACGATTTATATTTTGAGTCAGAAACGGTAATATTTTGTATAAATCCCTTATTTATATTTTCAGGCAGTCACCTTAGCTAACTTGAGAGGCTGTCCTTTGTGATGCAAGGTCTTACTCTCCTATCGGTGATTGGTGAAAGAAAGATATATTAAATTATTAATTATATTTGAAAAGGACGCAGGTCTTACATGAGGACAATAGTCTCTTTTTGTTTGGTAGCCAAGGATGACTTGCCCGTTCCATCAAACAACAGGTATTTTTTAATTAATACCTAAAAGTTAAACCCTTGTCCTTGGACCTCCGGAAAGTCACTTGGCTAGGCAGACAGCCTCTTTCACTCATGTTAGGCTTTCTCTTCTTTGCCAAATTGTCTGCTTTGATCCTTAGGCAAATTGGAAATGGCAAACCAGTCCAGTTCCTCTTGACCGATGGGGCTCACTGTCCGACTCCGGTTGAGAAGCAACCAGGTCTACCCAAACCCATCCATTTAAAAAACCCGCAGGATCAAAACCTTAAAAAGCGTACAATTAACAGTGCTAGAAGACGAAGACATTGATTTATTGGGCTCAAAAGCAAGTTAGAGATACAATTACAACACACTATTATATCTTCTGTGATGTTGGCATTGCCAGGGAAACTCCACTACCGGCTGGTAAGTCCTTCCATTGCTGAGTAATTGTTTTTATCTGGGTGTAAAAGTTGACTCCAGCCTTACCTGCAACACCAACAATTTTTTCTTGTTTAGTAAATTCAAGACTTATGGTCACTTGGCAAGCTTTATCAAGGAATAAAAAGATGGTAGAGTAAATATTACCATAGAAATTAAGATCGCCTGCAAAAGATGCCTTAGAGCCAGTAAACGAGAAAAACGGCAATGGAACTGGTATAGGAACATTAATGCCAACCTGCATCAAAATGAATGGTGTTAACTAATTTCCTAATTTAGGATGAACTTATTCTAAGAAAAAATGAACTCTTAACTTGTTAAAGTTGAACAAAATATCATTTCTAATTCATTTAGGAAACAACACCATGTTCCTTTATTTGTACTATCCACTGAATACTGACATAAAATGGTGAAGTGTTGTTGCTAAAATCATGGCTTCACATAACAAATGAGTTATACACTTGTAGCTTTAAACTGTTGCTTATGGTAATATGTTCGTTGTTGATTTTACCTGTCCAGCCTCTATCTCACTCTGGAATTTCCTTGCAGCTGCACCAGATGTTGTAAATATGGAAGCTCCATTGCCATATCTGCAACAGATGTATTACCCAAGCTTAAAAATATTGAATCAAAAACAAAACGATAAATTAGGCCAATGTAACCACAGTTGATGATATACTTGTTTCTGTTAACAATGTTGATGGCTTCTTCAAAGCTGTCAGCCTGAAGGTTAAAACAAAGAATAATAAAAGATGGGCGTTAGTGATTTGCCATGTTGATCATCAAACCTAGTTGACAGAGGAAAAGAAAAGCAACCACCTCCATGCATAGGAGAACTGGCCCAAAGATTTCCTCCTGCAAAAACCATGGATAGAGAGTTGATCATTTTTCTCCAAACATTACAGTTCAAGACTTTCACTGACCAAGTTAAAGATTTTTCCAAGTCCAGTTTATTTAAAAAGGATAAATAATACCTTGTAGCACTCCATATCAGCTGTGACTCCTGATAAGATGGTTGGACCAATAAAATTACCTTGCTCATATCCCGGAACCTAGTTGAAACCATGAATATATTGGTAAGCTGACCATTTCCTGATTATAAAGCTGAAAAATTTTTATGTTACTGAAAAATGAGGACTCTATGAAGGGCCATATTCATACTTGTGACAGGGCAATCAAAGAACCAAGCCTGTGGCAGGCCAATTTCCTTACCTACTTCCTACAATGGAGAGACATATTATTGCGTTCCTAGTTCCTACCAATTTTCCTGTACATAATCTATTTTTCAGGTGTAAAATTATGTACCATACCCATCCTTCTGCAGTAAAGGAGTGTCTGGTGCTAGTAACAGAATAGTGATGCAAGCAAAATATCAAATGGAAAATAGCATACCACTATATTTCTTCCATCAAGCAGTAGTCTGGCACCATTTTCAACACCACTTTGAATTAGTCTATGTATTCGTTCCTTGGCCTGTGAATGCAGCAGTATCCAAGCACAATAAGCTCACTTGAAGCATGAATTAGACCACTTTCATTCTCATTCTTTTATCTTCTGAATTGATAGAAGTGGTGCAATCTACATGATAGATTATTGAAACATGGACAATACCTGTTTACTAATGACTGGACCCAGGTCCGCATCAGGCTCTGTTCCAGCATTTACTTTAAGAGCTTTTGCACGTTCCACAAGTTTGCTCTCCCTGAGAAATATTGCAAAATATCTCCTTTATGCTACGATACCTTTGTAATAATATCTACGACTATTGAAAATACATTGCACACCATGTGACAAAATGTGTAATGATCTGCAATCTCAATCCAACATGCACGCTAGAGGTCTCAAACAAACACATAAGAACAACAGAGATGCATGCCACTATGGGTAGCTGGAATTAACAATAGAGTAGCTGTGACAACATAAATGAATTAATGCATGCCACTGTGGGTAGCTCGAATTAACAATAGAGTTGTTCCATTATGCAGCAGACTTTGACATATTCTTGTAGCCAGCATGTACTTTGAAGAAATAGGTAGAAGTTACCAAGCTCAGGTGATATATTATGCCTTAGGTTTTGCTTAGTTTGCTGATTATATAATTCCCATTCTGTTCCTAGAAACCTGTTCTTGCATGACACATAGTTACTTTCTTTTTTTCAAAAAATTACAAATGATTTCAATGCTACATAATTGCAAACATGTACATCTTCATATGCTCATATGCATAAATTACACATAAAGTTGGTGAAGCAACAGCAAATATCAACATTACATTAAAGTTTTAGCCTCTGAAATCAAATCAAAACAATGCAAACAGAAAGTTTGAAAATCTATAATAAAGAGGGAGATGGAATTAGCAAAAACCATGATTTTGAGTCCCCAACAAAAACTACTGTACTCAGTGCCATGCAACGTTGTCCAGCAGCACCAAAACCGGCAGCAGTTAAGGCGTTTAAAGTAGAATCCATGTTTGCATCAGGTAAGACGATTGCGTGATTTTTGGCTCCCATGTTCGACTGAACAACATAATCATAAAGCCAACTAATTTCAATTTCAGTATTAGCAAACAATCGTATTGCAATAGCCCTAAAAGACTGGATGGTTCTGGTGAAGAAAATCAACTTACCTGAACCCGTTTTCCCTTAGCTGATGCTCTTCCATATATGTGCATGCCAGCCTTCAGTATGTCAACAAAAAGATGAAATGAGAATGTAACTATGATACCAGTGACACCGTGTAGATGACTTTCATGATGACCATAAAAAGAAAATCAAAGATATACACTAACTATGATGCACAACCAGTTATAAAGATCAACCATCCTTAGATGATGAAGTATATGTTCAACTTTCATAGAAGGAACATAGTTTTAAGACCATCATGTAATTATATGCCATGTATTTTCTTCCAGAAACATGAATTCATTTTTCATTTTCATCTTTCAATTCATTTGTACACAAAAAATGCAAAAGATGAGTGGTAAGTAATGAGCTTATCTGCATAGAAGATACTTATGTTTCCTTAAGTTAGAAACAAGGAATTACAATGTTAGTTCCTTGAAATTGCACAGATGGAGAACCTGGATTTCTAAGTGTTCAGTTTTTATCAAACATGAAACATATGAATAGCAATTTGCTGCTTTTTGGAAAATCTTCCACAAGCAAGCATGATTTTGTAGTTCCCAACTCATAAAATTTGAGACTATATATCATAAAGGAATAATGCTGAAAGCAATGAACAACTTACAACATTGGAACCAACAAAAGATATAGCTCTGATATCGTCATCATCACAAATAGCATTAACAATATCCTGTTGCAAAATTGACAAACATTAAGAAACAAGTTTGCTAAACCTAACATGTACTACCACCAGTGTACCAAAAGTCATGAGTCTGTGACTTAAAATTTTATAACTAAAAAAATTGTAGCTGTTTTCTGTGGAGTATATAATAGCCTGTAATTATTTAGACATTTTAGAAGTCATCAAGTGAAAACCAACAGTTCTTAAAAGTGTGAAAAATATTCAGCAAGTCCTTTATTGTATTCTGTTAGGAAGACAAGAACAGCAAATGAATTTCAAAAGAGAAAAAGCAAAAAAAAAAAAAAAAAAAAAAGGACAAAAGAAGGCAGCAAATGAATTTCAAAAGAGAAAAAGCAAAATTATAAAAAAAAAATATATTGGCTTAATTGATCAGTCATAGCAAACATAATAAGATGTTCTTGGGGAGGTGGAAAGCCAATGAACAATAATTAATAAGAAACACCATAAAAGGTTTTGCGCCGAGCTTCACCAATGCTAACTTTTCTGCAAGCATTATAGAAGCCCTTGGCATAAAATACAAAAATGAAAACCATTGTGGCTGCACGCACGAGCAGTACGAAAGTTCGAGATTATTTAATTTTTTCCATGCATGCAATTAATTCGAATGACACAGACTTTAAACACACGAACAACAGTTGGTTTACACCGAAATCCAATTTTCATTACATTCTTCGAAGTCAAAGCCGCAGATAGTATCTCGTAAGTTTTCCTCATAACAGTTTTAGAAAAGACTAGAATGATTATCTTATTTTGAATTGTGGGCAAACAAGTAGTTTCAAATGAAGATTATCACAGAATACATACAAGCCATACACACTTTCCTAACCTATGTGCAAATGGAAGTGTCTAAATCTATTCCTTCACCTCATTATTGGCAAAGGAATTCTTTGCACCATCAATGTTTGACTACTCCTGCCTCAGAAATTTTCGCAGGACATTGTCCAAAAGCAATTTTTTAAAAAAACACTGAGCATGGATGCTTCTATAAATAAAGTGGGCGATTCAAATACATTCTCACAGAATTTCCAAACATTGATAGCTATGGATATAATCGGGAAGAAATAAAATAAGGGGCAACCCCACTATCATCAATGGGAAATTTAATCACCTTGGCAACAATAGACACGTATGGTTTCCAAGTGAAAAAAAAAAAAAAAAAAAAAAAGGCTTATTGATCAGTCATAGCATACATTAGTGCCATGAACAATATTTAAGACACCATTAGGCAGACCAGCTTCCATTGCTAACTCTGCAAGCATTATAGAAGCCCCTGGCAAAATAACAAAAATGAAAACCATGGCTGAGAGAGCAGTATGAAATTTCATATTTATTTTTTCCATGCATGCAATTAATCAAATGAAAGCTTTAAAAAGAACACAGTTGGTTTAACCGAACCATTTTCATTCATTCTTCGAAGTCCACCCAAATGTATTGTGTTTCTCATACATTTGAAAAGAACATAGAATGATACTTATGAATTTGCAAACAAGTAGCAATAAGATGCACAGAATACACAGCCATAACACTCCACCTAGGCAAATGGACTGCTCAAATCATCTCCTTCACCTCATTTGGCAAAGGAATTCTTTGCACCACAATGTTTGCTCTCCTGCCCAGAATTTTCCAGGACTTGCAAAGCATATATTTTTAAAACACTGAGCATGGAGCTTCTATAATAAGTGGGCGATTCCAAATACATTCTCACAGAATTCTCAACATTGATAGCTATGATATAATGGGGAAAAAAATAGGGCAACCACTACATGCAATGGGAATAACACCTGGCAACATAGACACCTATGTTCCAAGTGCTATAATTTTAGGAGGATTTGGTCTTGCAACTATAGAAAATTCCACATTTCTCAATTCCATGTGCCTCAAAATTACAATGGAGGCCACACTTTCAGTGCAACTAACTTCTAAACAAGTTTAGAATTCATCTATCTTTTTTTCCGTTGTTTAATATGATATAGCCCCATAAGAGATTATGCTTAACAATTTAATTACAACTTAACACTCACCTGGATCTTTTTCTGATGGCTTCAAGACAAAGGTATTACCACATGTGACTGCAATAGGGAACATCTGCAGTAACAGAAACAAGCAATTAATGATTTTTCTTTTCCTTTTGTTTAAGAACTGACAATTCAATTGCAGCGCAAAATAATATTTGTAGGCTCAAGAAAACTAAAAAGCATTAAGATGAAACAAGTACATATAATTGTTTTGACACATCTAAGACACACCATTCAAATTTCATCCCCACCAAAACAAGTATGTAATTATGCTAACATCCAGTTAAGGATCAATCATAGAGTTAAAGTAATATTATGAAAAGGAAATTAAAAAAAAAAAGTGTAAAGAAGAATACAAAGGTTTACCCATAAAGGAATCATTGCAGGAAAGTTGAAAGGGCAAATCCCAGCACATACACCGAGCGGCTCTCTAATGCTGTAGGTATCAATTCCATTTGATACATTAGGGACATACTCCCCCATTTGTAAAGTTGCCATTCCACAAGCATGTTCCACCACCTCTACATAAGAAATGTGAAAGAATCGGTAGAGCAAACCAACAATTAAGGTAATCTCTAAGACCGGTTCACCACAAAGACTTCTTAAACAACAAATGGAAGGCAAAAACAAACTAACCAAGCCCACGGAACACATCACCATGTGCATCCTTCAGAGTCTTCCCCTGTTCAGTTGTAATACTGATTGCTAGCTTATCCTACAACAAGATGACAAGGATTAATCAAAAACCTATTTTACAAAAGATAAAAGCAAATACACCAAGGCAACTTGAATCCAGCATGCTTACAATATCTCTACGAATAAGCTCTTGGAGTTTGAACATAATGCGTTGGCGGGTTGTAACTGGCGTGTTACGCCAAGTTGGAAAAGCCTGCTTTGCAGCATTTACTGCAGCTTTGAACTCTTCGTTTGTAGTCAAAGGAACCTGTGATACAACTTCTTGTGTAGCCTATTGTCAAACTAAAATCAATCAGAACCCAAAAAAGAACAACTACTTGCAATATGAATTCAATTCAAAAAAGAAAAATTCTAGTACTCACAGGATTTATCACATCAATGGCTGAAGATGATTGTGAGTCAACAAATGTCCCTCCAATGAGATTTGGAACCCTCTGTCAACGTCGAAGCCAGGAACTCAATTAAACAACAACAAAAAGTCACACCACAATTTCTTGAAATAAAAAAGACTGTCTTTAAGCTTAATTTGGATCAATCAAAACATAAATGAAAAGAATAAGAACATGATTCAATAACAAACAACTTGACTAAACCAAGAAATTTACATTTATATCATTCACATGTATACAAAACATCTACCAGAGGTTTACGCTGACTTGAAGAAGGCTGAGTAGCAGTAGAGAAATGAGAGCTCCTCAAAGCAAAGATCTGAGACCTCAACGTCCTCAGATTTTTCACTGCAAGCACATTAAAGAACAAACAAAAATCAAAAATCAAAATCATTTCCTAATATGAAATCAATTATTATTGATAAATTAATATTCATTACCTCGTTGAATAGAAAATTGAAGCAACATCTCTGTATTGTTTCCTTCTCTGTCTGTCTTTCCTTCACTGATTCGACGAGGGAGACTGGGTGTGATTAGTGTCGTGGCAGTGTTGCTTTTGAAGGGAGTGACTTACTGGGATCTGAACGTTGGATTGAAATGAGGAATCATCGGTCGGTAGACATTCAAAGTTGCTGACAGTTTTTTCCTTTTTTTTTATTATTAGGACATGTAAGCATATTTATCCAAAACAAAAATTAAGAATTAAGAATGGCTAAATGCATCTTCTAAAAAAAAGAATTAATTAAATGCATATGCATACCCATCAATTAAAAAAAAATCTTTTGACATTTTAAATTTTAGGAGAGACTTATCGTGTTATTTAAAATTATAAACTTTAATAACCTTAAACACATTTCTACATTATTTAATCTTTACATCTAAAATATAAAATATTAATTCCATGCAGTTAGTGCAAATTTTCAATCATTTTTACATTTTCAATTATTTATTAATTTTTTAATCGATTAAATAAAATCATTTCCACGTTTTCAACTATTTAATAGTTTTTTAATCAATTAGATTTTATAAATTATTTTATAAATTAAGGTGTTTAATAGATATAATTTATAAATTAAAGTGTTTAATATATTAAAATAAAATTTAAAAAGTGCCAAAAATTCTTTTTGTAAACTCAGGAGTATACTTATAGCCAATTAATAATAGAAAAACAACTAATCATATACCCGCCTTGTACGAATATGCAATTCTTTTATTATTTAAAAATATTAATGATGATATTTATTAAAAATATTAAAATAAAAAAATTAACGATATTATCAATTTTATTAATTATTAAAAAAATAAGAATATTAGTAATATTATTATTTTATTATTTATTAAAAAAATAAAAAATATCATTGGTAGTAATATTAATTCCAGCTCCAATACTATTTAAATTAAAATAAAGTGAAATTATGAAGTCAAAAATAAATAAATAAATAAAATAGATATAGATATAGAGGAAAAAAAAGTAATTTTTAAAAAAATGAGAAAAATTAAAGAAGAGGAAGATAGACATTAGAGGAAGAAGCCATATTTGTCTATTTAAAAGTTACAAATTTTCTCAAACAAGTTAAAAGCAAAAATACTGAAATATTAGGAATCTCAATCTCCTAAAGAAGCGCCAGTTCAGCAATCAAAATGATGATAACGATAATGATCGTCCATCCTTGAGATCAGATGATAATTTTAAAAGAAAAATGTAACAGATATTGGACAAAATCACAAAAAGAATCTTATCATTGATTGCCACCTAATTTCATCATACACCAACAATTATTCTTCTGTTTTCAAAAATTAAAGTACAACCATATTGCGAGAATAGTCAAAATCCGTGATACGAAAATAGTCTCGTATCTAAAAGATATGGAACACTCGTGGTAATAAAAAGAATAAAAAATTATTAAATTAATATCATAAACTTTTATTTTAATAGTTAAATCTTTACTCAAATATTATATATACTTACTAAATTATAATAAAGGAGAGTATTTATTGATAAAAGGTTTGACATAAAAAATCATCAAACCTTGTAGTTTAATTAGTCACCAACATCACTACAAAGCTAACCAATCTAAACTATGCATCTTCCATGTTCGCTCTTCCTACAATGATAAAACCTTGTGAGTGTGAGATTGGATGCATGTGATAATAACTGGAAAAGAGGACACTGGTATAAACAAACTGTGCCATTTTCTTTACTCCAAAATGTTAAAAAGAAAACTAGTCCTAGATTTTTGTTCATTCTAATATGATCTTTAAGAGCTTGGCAATTCAGCAGCTGACAAATCTTCACTTGGCAAATCTCTCCATTGTTGAGTTACAGTTTTAACTTGGGTGTAAAACTGTATTCCAGCTTTGCCTGCAGTAATTGTTTGAAATAGCTATCAATCTTCAACTTCAGAAAATGTATAATTCTCCATTGAAAGTCAAACAGAAAGTTACTTTTTAAAAGGGTGTATATTTACCATCAAAGTTGACATCTCCAGCAAAAGATGGCTTGCAGCTGATAAACGAAGAGAATGGCAGCGGGACTGAGATAGGTACATTAATTCCAACCTGAAGAACACCAAGTTCATTGAAAAACATCAATGAAATGTAAATGGAGACAACCATACATTTGAGAGGTTTAAACTACTGTAAAAATTTAATGGCAGGAAACATGAAGTAAAATATTTGAATCTTTAAAATTAACACAAAATACTAGTTAAGCAGACTACATTTGATTTTGTGACTGCCACCTTACCTGCCCAACCTCAATGTCCGTCTGAAATTTTCTTGCAGCAACACCGGATGTAGTAAATATAGATGCTCCATTGCTGTACCTGTGAGAGGATACACATAAAAACATGAAACATTACTTCAAATCATTTGACTTTAAGGGGGTCAAGAGAAGCTGAAAGTTTGGGAATACTTATTTCCATTAACAATATTTATGGCCTCTTCAATAGTATCCGCCTGAGAATAAGAAAAATATTTGTTATTTCCTCAATTTAGTAGTAGTTAGACAAATAGATGGATGGAAAAGTAGCAAACCTGCATACAAAGAAGAACTGGGCCAAAGGTTTCGTCCTGCACAAATCAACATGGAGTATCATGAACTTGTGATGAAGTTAAGCTTACCAGAAATCATCCAAGATGGTCTCTAAATAAACTACCTTGCAGCATTCCATGTTGACTGTGACATCAGATAAGATGGTAGGACCCACGAAGTTCCCATTTTCATATCCAGGAACCTAACAGATATCAACAAAATAACATCACAAAATAGGCCACGGTAGATTCATTAAATATCCAAAGCTGAAAGAAGACTATATGCATGCTCTATTACTGCTTATAAAATGTCACAATGACCCACCTCATCTGTGATGAATCAAATGCATAGAGCAGAAGTAAGGAGGAATAGTAATCGTTGCAAGTTTTTTTCCCCCGGTAGCTAATATTAAATAATTTATTAGAGTGATTTTTTCAATCTGTACGAGGCACATTCATTCATAAAACTAGATCCAGCTGGGAAACTCTTCTTTCCCAATATCCCCATCATCAAATATAGTTATGCTACATCTACATATGAGCCTTTTCTTAGGCCATGATCAGTGACAAATAAGAAGACAGCTTTATGTTCGTAAATCTCCCACTCTTTGATGCTGGACTATATTTTTGGCCTTTCCTTTAACATGAACCATCCTTTTTCTTTTACCTTGACCATAATATGATAGAATCATATATGGTTGCTTGCACAATCCCTATAAACTTTAACTTGCAACTGAATTTTGGCTAGGCCAATCAAAGACATTGTTGTCAGTTGTGTCAGTTGTACAATGCGTCCATGCCAGCTCCCAACATAACTCCTACTGTAGTTCCATAGAACTAGTGCAACCCCTCACCTATCATAGTTTCAGGATTGGTGAGGGCTTCCAACACTAAATTTAAGCTTTTCCATGGACTTGCCAGACCAAAATCACAGATCTTAGCAACTAATTATGAGAATCAACTGCAAGTCTTTTTCTATGGCTGGGGGAAGCCAGACGAGGAGGAGGTAGGGGAGAGATTATTAGGGTGGGGACTATATTGTCATAAAATTCTGGAGGAACTCGTAGCAACGACAAATAAGACAGGTAAACAAAAACAAAACCAGATACCTCAATCTTTCTTCCATCAAGAACTAGTTTTGCACCACTTTCAATGCTTGCCTGAATTAATGAGCATATGTGTTCTTTTGCCTGTCAATAATAAAGAATAACCAGAACTTACAGTCATAAGCAGGCAGGGCATGTACACATGATGAATGCAAATGCCTAGCAACAGTTGCAAACAGGTTTGCCATGCAGGATATAATAATTTCTAAAAATTATAAAAATCTAAGTACTTGCAATTCACTATCTTGATTTAGAATCAAAATGCCGATTGGTAAGGAAAACTTTGACTGAACTATGCACCTGCTTACTAATGACTGGACCAAGCTCTGCATCAGGTTCTGTTCCAGCAGTTACCTTAAATGCTTTAGCACGCTCTACTAGTTTCTCTTCCCTAGTAAAAAGCAATAGCAAACTGATCTTTAAGTTTGTTATTCAATTTTTGTAAAAAAAATCAGTATCTTTTCATTTTAATATGTGAAGAGGAAAAAATATAGTAGAATTTCTCAAGGATGTAAGAGGTAACTTTAATACATCTAATAAGTTTTGAGAACATGTTTTTTTATCAAATTTTTTTTAGCTATTTAAACCTTAATCGATAGGAATGGATTGCTTTGGCCCATGTGTGTTATTTTGGAAAGCCAACCATTTTTGTTTTACCACTTATACTAGGTCTAAGAACAACAACAAAACTTAGCTAACAAAAGTCAATCTAATTCCTCACATATCATATCTGAAATGTATCTCAATCCCCTGAACTAAAAAAAAAAAAAAAAAAAAAAGTTCTCCGCAGCACGTTTACCTTAAAACTGCTTTTAGGCAACGCTCTAAACTCAGTTTCTCCTTCCTGTAAAACAAGTTTCAATAGCTATTCACTGATCTTTAAGATAGTTATTCAATTTTGTAAAAGGAAATATAAGTATCTTATTTCATATTTTAATAAATGTTTGAGATTGGGAGGAAAAAAGATACTAGCTTAGATTTTCTCAAAGGATGTAAAGAGGTAACTTTAATTACATCATAATAAGTTTTGAGAACATGTTTTTTATATTACAATTCAAATTTATTTTTCAGCTATATTATAAACCTCTAAATATCGATAGGAAATTGGATTGCTTTGGCACATTGCTCGTGTTATTTGTTGGAAAGTCTCGCACCGGGTATTTTGTTTTACAACTTTAACTACGGTCTAAAACGAACAACAACAAAAATTAAGATATAAACAAAAGTCCATTACTAATTCCTGCCAATATAATACTCTAGTACAATGTATCTTTCAATCCGGTTGAACTAAAAAAAATTAAAAAACAAAAAAAAGGCCTCCTAGGTAAGCAACTCCTATGAGGTATTGATTTCAAACAATCAGAAGAGCATGTTATATATGCAGACAATGCATGACCACTTGGAAATGATGGCTTAGCTACCTAGGCTACTCTATAAGAAAGAAAAGTAGGGGAGAAAAGAAAACGGAATATGCAGAAGTACATCGGGAGTTCACCATTAAATCATTAAATTAACCACACTTATCAAAAGTAGACACGGGTCCTAATACCACAAAATTACAAACCAAAATTGTGCACACTCTCTGACTAGATATGAGGAACACATTATAACTCTATGAATAAGGTTTGGAAGGATCACTTATTCATAGGGGAGCAAACTATCATTATTTATAATTATATATGGAATAAAGCTTTCTTCCAAAAAGCAAAAATTAGAAAAAAAGAAAGTGGACTAACTTAACAGCCACAAACTTGCATTATTTGAGGCCTTTTAAAAAAAAAAAAAAAAAAAAAAGCCTCTAGAAGCACCCATAGGTATTGATTCAACAACAGAAACATGTTATACAATGCATGACAACTTGGAATGATGGCTAGCTACCTAGGCTACTCTATAAGAAAGAAAAGTAGGGGAGAAAGAAAACGGATATGCAGAATACAGGATTCACCATTAAATCATTAAATTAACCACTTATCAAGAAGAAGGGTCTTCAACAAAAACAAACCAAATTGTCCACTCTATGCTAGAATGGAAAACACTTATTACTCTATGATAGGTTGGAAAACACTTATTCAAGGTGCAAATAATCATTATTTAATTTATTGAATAAAGCTTTTCAAAAAGAAAAATAGAAAAAAAGAAATACTGCACAAACTTGCAATTTGAGGCCTTCATGGTAGTTGACTTGATAACTACCAGACCAAAATGCATATAAATTTAAAAGAAATAAGATACCATGGACTTAGGCCTCCAACAAATACAACTGAGCTTAGGGCCATGCACTTTTGTCCTCCACCACCAAAGCCAGCACCAACTAGAGCATTCAAAGTAGCATCCACACTTGCATCAGGCATGACAACTGCTTGATTCTTTGCTCCAATATTGGACTGAAGCAACCAATCGACCAGCCAATTTGCATTCATAAAAAACCGTTTTTGCACACAAAAAGATGAACTAGAAATTCTTAAAGTAGATCAATGGAATTTACCTGAATACGCTTTCCTTTAGCTGATGCCCTTGCATACACATGTGCACCAACCTAAAAGAGCATGACAATAAAAATACTTCTTATTGATGGAAATGTCAAATTGCAAACCTAAAACCATTTTAAGATAAGAACAATACTTCTTGTTGATGGAGATGTCAAATCAAAACCTAAAACCATTTTAAGATGAGAATACTTGAAGAAGTCACATAAATCATGTTGCACAGAGGCAGCCTACTTAGGCATGTGTGTTTGTGTGTGTGCGTGTGTGCATGGACAAAACTACTCATTAGAGGAGGGGGTCAATTCCTCCCTTTCTCTTAAAAAAAAAAATTACATCTCCAAGGTTTGAACCTTAGTTTTCTAGTTATTTTTAAAGCACTCCTACCACTTTGTTTCCCTTTAACTTGTCTGTTATATAATTTGCCCCCCCTTCTATTTAAACTTGGCTTCAGCCCCGTGTGTGTGTGTGTGTGTGCATATATATGGCATAGAAACAAACTTAACACCCACAAGACCTGAGATTTGAGAAAAGTATGTTCTAACATTTTCAGCATCTTGTAATATTGCTCTTGCCTCCGATATCATATGAGCAATGGCAAATAATTTCATCATTCATTTCCATGTTAATCATGGAACGCCACAATAACTGATCTCATAAGCAAAGAATGAATTACTCAAACTTGTACAGTAGAAGTGCAGCAGCACTTAATGTAAAGTTAAAGCAACAGTGTACACTTATAGCTAACATCACAAAAAGGATACTTTTTATGAATGTCACAACAAGCAGAAGCTTTTTTAGAGGAAAAAACTCCTACTCAAATTACCACACTGACAGTCATTCTGTCTACACTAGTTCCTGGCTATAACCACCACAGTAACAGCTACAACTGCAACCCAAAATACAACCACCAATGTAGCCCCCCACACACAATCATACTGCCATCATAAACAGATGTCTTGTCCCCTCCAGACATAGCTTTCAGTCTTTACTAGACGCCAAAATGTCTCATCTCCTTCAGCACAAGGCATTTTTCTGGATGTTGACTTTAGGCCGATGCATTTCTTTTACCCAAATTAGTATATTAAGTGTATTCAGGTGTCTGTAGCACTCTCTATGCTGAGATGGAAAAATTGGAAAACTATTTCAAGAATAAAACTTCAGGGAATAAGTCAAAATAAAAGTTTGAACTTTCAACAGTTTTCCCACATCCTTTTTCACAATAGAACCTGTACAAGGAAGCATAAATTGTCATATGCAGATTGCACTTTTTGACCCTAGAAGCATGCAGGGAAATAATAAACCTGCAATGTTTGGCTAGTCTAGTAGCAAAGAAAGATGTTTTATCATCTTCAACTAAAAGCACAGACAACTGCATATGCATAAACTGAAATTACTAACTCGCAAATTCCACAAACATATGCATCATATGGAGATATTATTCAGCAATATGTATCAAAATGTGCAATTAGATATGACTTACTGAATTCTGACCCACGAATGAAACAGCTTTAATATCACTGTCATCACAAATAGCATTAACAATGTCCTGGAACACAAATAGTTAGATGATGAGAACCGAAGAATGAAAAAGAAGAATTGTTTCAGAAACAATACAAAAGGAAGATATGTCAATGCACCAAAAGGATTCAGTTGTGACATATTCAGTTGAATAATTTAAGGCTAATGCACATATTCTCAAAACATAAACTTTCAGTACTTTGGTGAATGTGTAAATGGTAAAGGGACAGCAATAAGTTATGTATTTTGTATTTTAACCTTTGCCTCATGCTCACATGGTGGCCTAAAGAACAAAAATCAGTCAACTCTCCAAGTGACACTGACACCATAAACTGGTGAAACCTTAGAGTGAAAGAAAAACCCTGACTCAATTCTTAAAGTAAAACCTTACATTGGTACCATGAACAATATTTAAGACACCATTAGGCAAACCAGCCTCCATAGCTAACTCCGCTAACAACAGACAAGCCCCTGCAATAATGCAAGACAGCATATTATTTGATTTTGAACATGTCCCATGTAATGGCAGACCAAGTTGCACAATATATAAAAGAAAGATCCGGAGATCCTTAGTTGAACTCAAAGGTTCAATGCTTCAACAGCATATGAATTACAAAAGCTCAGTCAGAAGGGGCAATTTTAAATCAAAACCTTCTAGTTTGAATTTGCTTAAATTGCATACGTTACACAAAATCCTCATCAAAGTACTACAAAATTGACTAGACTAGTTAAATTTTTTCCCTTATGATTGCCATAGCATGAATTTTATATATATATATATATATACTACTAGAAGTTCTGATAATTAAAGTATTACCACATGTGAATATACTATAGAAATCACCTGGAACCTTCTCTGATGGCTTCAGAATAAAAGTATTACCACATGTGACAGCAATAGGAAACATCTGCAAACAAATAAAAAACACACATATATAATTAAACTTCAAACAAACAATATGATTCTCTTTATCATTCCTTAAGCAATTGATGACAGCTTAGATGCAGACATAAAAAAAAAGGGGGGTAGGGGGCCATAAACCTAAAAAGCACTGTAACTAGGTCATAGTACTAAATTCATGGTCTGTACACCATCACAGCCACTATCACCATGTTTACTTGTAGAATACAAAGTACAGAAACAATGGCAGTCCCACAGGTCATGTGTACCAGATTAATATTGTGGCCAGATCAACAGACAATGAGTAACAACACAAGGAAAGAGTATAATAGACTTACCCATAGTGGTATCATAGCTGGAAACTCAAATGGGCAAATTCCAGCACAAACACCAAGAGGCTCTCTAATGCTATAGGTATCAATTCCGTTAGACACGTTGGAAACAAATTCTCCAATTTGCAGAGTTGCCAATCCACAAGCATGTTCCACCACCTCTATGAGGGAACATCCAAGACTTTGTAGAACACAAGCATCACAAATGATATCATTCATGGATAACATATAAAAGAAACTAACCTAGGCCTCGTGACACATCAGCATATGCATCTTTTAAAGTCTTCCCATGTTCAGTAATAATGCAAATGGATAGCTTATCCTGAGAGAGAAAATAACCGCAAGTCATATCGACCAGATATTGCATTTTCAAGTATACAAATCCAAATATTTACAATGTCTCTCCGGATAAGCTCTTGGAACTTGAACATGATTCGTTGACGAGTGGTAATCGGCGTGCTTCTCCATGATGGAAATGCCCGCTTTGCAGCAAATACTGCAGCTCTGAATTCCTCATTTGTAGTCAAAGGAACTTGAGAAACAAGTTGTTGTGTTGCCTATCACATATCAGTAAATAATGGGAAGGAATGAACAAATACTATCGAATAACAGTAAAAAAAAAAAAAGAAAAAGACTTTTGAGGGCATTATATAAACTTACAGGATTTATAACATCGATAGATGCAAAAGACTGTGAATCAACAAATTTGCCACCAATGAGATTTGGAACCCTCTGGCAGGCATTAACAAATAGGTTAAAATCCAGCCTAATTACTTAGAACTTCTAACTAACTGGGAATAGAGAGAGTTAAAGAAGAAGAGAAAGCATAACGATTTTCTAGAGATACTCAGGAGAAGAGAAGTAAGAATCTTTCTCCTATTGCTTCTATCAAAATCATTTTTGATGAGATCTTGTTGATCCAAGGTATGTTAAATTTCATTGGGACTTACTGTGGGACAGCGCTGCCTCCAAGAAGGCTCAGTAACTGAGAGATAATTGTTCCTAACAGCAGATTTCTCTGGTCTTAATGACCTGAAGTGTCTTACTGCAGCACCAAAAATTAAGGAAAAAAATCAGTCTGCCAGAAATTATAGTCTAAATCCTAAGGACATGAGACAATTGATAACTTAATTGCAACATTCTTCAAAAGTACAAAACATATCCGCATCTAGTCAAATCTAACGCATTGAGAAAAGCATCAGCTCCAACTGTCACTGAGGAAATCAGGATAAGCAAATGGGTAGAATGGAACCAGAACATAAACCTTAGTTTAGCTGCCAAGCACTCTTGCCCTACAGGTGTGGGAACAGTAATTAATGATCAGTGAAGGACCAGAAAATAAGAACTTTGTCACGTCAATAAGATATGATTCATTATTGCACACTTCAAAGATAAGCCTAATACAAAAACTCTCAAAGCTTTGCCAAAATATCCAGCAAATAAACCACTCTAAAATCTTTGTAAGCTGATTTCATCTTCCAATTCAAGAACTATATGTGACCACAAAAGGCGTAAGGAGAAGGAGGTACTGTGAGAGGATAGTCAGGGAACAGAAGGGAAGGAAAGAGAGATTTTTGAAGAAAAAAATGAATAATGCAGAAGAAGGGGGAGAAACACGTTTGGTTTTTTAAGAGATATATAAACTCAATCGTAAAATTTGATGACAGTATCATTAGGCATGGAAAAAAAACAGAGTATTATTGTATTTTGAGAAATAAAGTAAAGTAAAACAAAAGAAGGGTGAAGGATAATAAATCTTCCTTGTACCATCACTTTCCTCCTCTGCCAATCTGTAACTGTAATTCATTACACCCCAGGTTGCAATTGTTTCTCATATTAAAGGGGAAGGACTACCCTGTCGTCCCCTTTTCTCCTCCTAAAAACACTTGCAAGCCTAAGCGCAAGGCAGGGAATGCTCATTCACCACCACCACCCACCCCCCCCCCCCCCCCCCATTTAAGGCATGGAAAAAAACGAGAGTATTCAATTGTAAGTTTCTTGTGAGAAAATAAACGTTAAAGTAAAACAGAAAGAAGGGTGAAGGATTAATAAATGCTCCTTGAATAGAACATCCCACTTTCCACCTCTGTCTCAATCTGTAAGCTGCTAATTCATTACACTCCCAGGTTGCAATTGTTTCTCAAATATTAGAAGGGTGAAGGACTATTCTCTGCTCGTTGCCCCTTTTCTCCTCCTAAAGAAACACTTGCAAGCCTAAGTCGCACAGCGCCAGGGAATGCTCTTATTCAGACCACCACACCACCCACGCCCCCCCCCCCCCCCCCCCCCCCCCCCCCCCCCCCGGGGGGCGCGCGGCCCTCTTAAAAAGAAAACTGTGTTATGTGGATAATTCTACAACACAATGAAGCCAAAATAATATCCTATGCCAAAGCAAGTGGAACTGCAAATGATGAATTCTAAATGTTGTTGCATTTCTCCAATCTCTACAACAGAATACAGCAAACACAATAAAAAAATACATATTCCAATAAACACTGGCCTGCCCATCTTTTCCTGATAGACCCATGGCAGGTGAACAACAAATTCCCAAAGTTCACAGGTAGAAAAACAGAGCATCAAATATGGAAACAAGTTCTATTCTGAATATTCCAAGTGTTAGAACATTGCAAGTGATACCTGTGGTCTCACAACTACATTTGCACATGGCACATACATCCTACAATCCACATATTTCTAGCAGATTATTGCATCATCATAAACCCCACAAAAATCTTAGAACTCAGAGGAAACCCCAACTATCCAAATGCGATTTGCCAAATGGAAATGGTCTGAAAGACGGCCATAAACAAGAAAGTTCTTTTTTTTTTTTTTTTTTTTATTTTTTTTTTTTTTTTTTTTTTTTTTTTTGTGAAAATCATGAACAAGAGAGTTAAGAAGGGTTTAAATCCACCAATCTAGCCTTGTAGAATGAGAAAACCATAAGCTATTAAGTAATCAAAGAAGATTAACAGTCCCTTTAAGACTTACAGGAACTAATCCATCTATGGTGTATTTTTATTTTTTATATTAGAGATGTAAAAAAGAAAACACAGGGAAAGGATAACACCCTATCCTTCGTCATCTTAAGAACTTATTCAGGACTCATCATCAACCTTATCATTTTTGGTTTTACCTGTCTTCCTTTCAAGTCCAACAATATGAATGCACTCATATGATATGACTAAAAATCTCTATGGTCATTTGTGAACTTATCCTTAAACTCCAATTCAACATTCTTACCAATGCAATCATTTCCAAATTGGCATTTCATGTGTATCCAAACATGATATAGTCAAACACTTGAAGACCAACAGATACAGATAAATTCTGAAAATGATTGGAACAACAAACTTCTTACAGTGACAAATTGCATGGATTAAATGACCAATGTTCTAGTGACTTATGATCTGTAGAGACACGCAATTCAATGCTACGACATCAATATATTTGGAAATGGTTAAAATCAGGTAAAGGTTTAAGAAACACGAAAGGAAATAAAAAATAGAAGCTTGACTATAATTAGAAGACTGGCTCCACCTGTCATATTTCCTTGTCGGATTTTTGCTTTAACATTGTATACGTGTTTTGGAGTGGATAGAAGATCTGGGTTGCTTTGTCTCAATCTTTTCAGGATTTGGCGAGGTTTTAGTCCAGCTTCAGTCATCTCTTTAATTAACTGAACTTCCTGTTCCGAGAAGCGACGGGCGGAAGGATGTTCTGAAATATCCTTCAATGGCTCATGGTTGTGTGTTCCATTTTTTATTGTAAGCACCCACAATCCATCATCCTTCTTCCCCACAAGTTCAAAAGGACAGTTGGTAAGACGAGAACCAGTTTTTCTTTTACGAGTACATTCAGCAGGAGATTCATCAATACCTTTCCGCCTATTGCGATAAACACCTCCTCTGTCACATCCAAGTATTACTACTCTGTCTCTCTTAGATTGCTTAATAGTTACCACATATCCCTGAGATACAGCAAAGTCTCCGACATGTTGTATAAGTTCTTCACGATCTACAAAAGTTCCAGGTGGAGGTGGAAGCATTTGAGGGTTTTCATTCAACTCTGCACTACTTTCAATGTCCATCTTCACACATGAGTGGACCTGCAGTAAACCAAAGACATATAAAATCAATTCACTCTAATCAACATTTGACTCTAGGCTCTCCAAGCATTTGAAGATAGTAACACAACCCCCCCCCCCCCCTGAAATGTACACAAACCCCTACCCCCCTCTCCCCTTCCTAAAAAAGACTAAAAAAAAAAAAACGAATACAGATGGAATTAACTCGCCTAGTCTCAATTTTGTTCAAGCCTTTATTAGCATTTGAGGGCATAACTTTTCTTCTCTCCCACCCCACACCGCAATCCCGACTCCCCCCCCCCACCGCCCCAGGCAGTTATTTACTTCAAGAGTGTGCCTCTCCACTAATAAAATATGAGGTCACAGCAGAAAAAGCTTGAATGTTTACCCCCGCCCCAGCTATTATTTACTTCAAGAGTGTCCTCTTCCTATAATATGAGGTCACAGCCAGAAAAGCTTGAATGTTTACTTTTTGATCATTCTGCATCAACTGCAATTTAATGACATCTCATAAATTAATACTAAACTCATTCTAACGTCACCATATTCACAATAACATGTTAATTAACAAAGAGATGGTGTTTGGATTAGAACAAAATCTACAAAGGCTGCGACCCACTGGGACAAGAATCAGTATGTACTGCAGTTCAGTTTTGGGGATGAAAATTCTATATCGTACTTGACAATGACAGGGACTTACATATCTTCCCAAGAAATAGACACAAACATGAATTGACACCATAAAGTCAGCAAAAGTAGAATAATACCTCAGAGAAGAGTTTTTATGTTTCCCTCTTCAAACCAATTCGCTTTCTTTTCAAAAGTCTCATACTCCCTTGTAAAATAACTAAGGAATGTTTACTTCAGCTGGTTCATGCAGCTAATAGCTGATTTGTACTTAACAGCTAGGCTAGATGCGTTTAGTGAGGATTTTAATCAATAACTAATAGCCTATAGAATTTCAATCCGCTACTCATTCCATAGCTGCATTTTGGAGCCTTTTTCCTATCCGTTATTAGATTTGTGTTTATATTACTATGTTAACCTTATAAAAAATTACTAATAAATTCTTTTAAATTAATATTTTTACTTTTATGTCATCATTTTATTTATTTATAATAACTATAAAAAATTATTATAAAAAATTTTTATTGATATTTTTTACTTATTATTTTTTGTTTATATAACATATTAAAATAAAAATAATATAGCCATCTTAAAAGATAAGGAATATATACATATGATACATGATAATAAATAAAAATAATTCATTTTTACATTTTAATAGTAACCATTACTAAAATTTTACCAAATACCAGCATCCGTTAACCATATGCTATGACAAACACCTAAACCAAACAAGCTCTAAACTAATTTACTCTTTTCTCAATTAAACTTTACTTAATAAGGGCAACGCAAGAGAACGGAAGGAAATCCCTTCTACTCCATTGCCATATTATCAAATTTCTTCCAAAATTTCATTTCCTTTTCCTATATTTTCTCAATGTATTCAGTGAACAATGCATTCTCATATTCAGTAACATAATTGGCATTTCAGCAGGGGAAGAAATATACTAGCCAACAATCCTAACGAGAAAATTTTAACCTTTCCATTAACTAGACCAAATTGATAATCCAAACTAACTTTTAAAAAAACAACTAAACAAATTTTGAACCTCACCCATTACTCTTCTAGTCTAACAAAAATAAGTTCCATAAAAATTCTCAAATAAATAATTCTTTATCCAGTAACAACGAAAATAATTTGATAATTTAATTTTCTTTGTGTCCAGTTTTCTCCGGGACCAAAATACACAAAAAAAAAAAAATAACAGCAGGAGCATATGCTTACCGGAAACAGCGATCGGCCGGTGATAACCGACGTCAACACACGTCCGGCAAGAATTGGATTTTGTATTCTTTATAGCACGGTGAATTGTGTCACAGTAGGAGAGAGACCTGCTTCAGGCAGGATGATTGGAACATGGTGGCCTGGGAGAAACGAGGTTCGTGTTTGGGTATTTGGTTATTGACAGTTGATGAAAGCCTGGAAGTACCGGACTGAACGGGCACAAAATGTGTTTGAACCAAACAGGTCATTTGTAATTTAATTTGGGTAATATTTTTCAATACCTTACCCTCTAGGTAATTTCAAAATGGACCCTCAACCTTAAAATTGCTATGACAATATTTTTTTTAAAAAAATATTAGTATTAAATTATTAGCTGGAATTTTCACTTTCTATAAAATTTGTAAACAACAAACAAAAATGTATGTTTTAATTTTTTTTTTTCCCCACAAACTTATTTGTAAAATAAAGAATTCTTCTGAGAGCAAATTAATAGTAAGATGAAATGTTTAGATTTGATATAATTTCTCAATTTCAATAATAAGACATGTAAAGAATGGCCAATATATTCAAGATTTACTAAATATAAAAATATAAAAACAATAATTCATGTATATCTATAATTTTATAAATGAATTGACTAAAAATGACATCTATATATTTATCTATATTTATATATATCTATATAAATATATAAAAAATCAAATATAAAAATCTATTTGGCATATGGACATATTCGGCACTACTAACTGTTTTAGTAGCTATTAGTGGTTTTACGAATCGTTAATTGTTTATATAACTGTTTAAAGTAAAAGGGTTTGGTAAAAATAGTTGTTTGATTAGCTGTTGAATTTAAAATGACAAAAAAAGACATTTAACTATTGAGTTATAATTTTAACTTGTGATTATAACATTGAACTCATTATAAAAAAAAGTCAATTTATAGTGTATAGTCCAATTATATAAATTGAAATCATTATCATTTCTAAAATGATTATACAATTTCCTCACATATTTCTCTATTAATTAATTATTAAATTATTTTATTCTAAATGATATTATCACCATAATTTTCCCTCAACATATTTCTCTATTATTAATTATTAAATTATTTTATTTAAATTTGTTGTGGTAAAATAATTGTAATTTTTTAACTTAATATGCAGACTTGCCAGTAATATTTTTTAACTTAATTGCAGACTTGCAGTAATTTTAATATAAATTAATTAAAAATAATATAAGTTAATTAAGGATAAGGATAAAGATAATATAAGTATAATTAAGGACATAATTGTCAAAAAAATTTTAATAAAAAAATGGAAAGGTGAAACGTTATATTTTAATAAACGTTATCTCATCCACTAACAACTATTTTATATATTACTTTAACTAACGACATAATTTACAAAAATAGTATTTTGACATGGTCAAAATTTTAAACTCTCCCTTAAACACTACTGCTGAACAGAGCCAATGTTACAGCATGAAGGTGCTTACATGTTGCAATACTAAAATATTATTTTATTGAATGAAAAATAGTTTTTATATTATTAAAATTATTTTTTAATATAATCAATAGAAAGCTTGAATTAATATTATTAAATTTTAAATTTTAAATAATTAATAAAATTAATAACAGAAAAAATAATTATTTCATCCTTGAGTTTTATCATAATTATTTAAGTAGTCTCTAACTTTTATACAAATATTAAAAAATTAAACTTTTACCATTAATTTTTTATAAAAAACCGAAGTACCCTAAATTTTTTAATAAACAGATTCTTTCAATCTCACTTTTTCTCTGATCCAAATACTCACAAAAATGGAAACACAAACCAAAACCCATGTATAAAAAAAAAAAAAAAACCAAAATTAAAATATAAATAGTATCTTAATTGAAAACCAATTTTCAATTAATTTTGTTAGATCCATAACCTAGTGAAAAATAAAGCCAGCCGTGCTAAAAAAAATTACAAATATTTGAAAGAATGAACTTTGTAGATAACTGAAAAATTAAATCCATAAAAGGGAAAGAGAGAGAGAGAGAGAGAGAGAGAGAGAGAGAGAGAGAGAGAGAGAGAAGAGAGAGAGAGAGAGAGAGAGAGAGAGAGAAACTAAGAGCAAGTAAAAATTATGACTACATAGATAATTATGATAAATTAGTCATATTTGGTCTTGATAATAAATTATGATAATTTAATGACAGTAGTCATAAATTATGATAATTTCGTAATTATAATTCCATTAAGCGTGTTTTTTAATGGAAGGAGATATGACTATGTAGATAATTATGATAAATTTTAAAGACGAAATAATTAATTTCCCTTAATAATATTATTAATATTTGAAAATTTTCATTTTCATTTTTGTTTGAATAATTAACAGTATTTATATTATACATGTACTAATATATTTTTTCATTTTTTTTATTATTATAGAATTTATATAGATTTTCCTTTCAATATAAATAAAACAATAAAAGAAATACTCTCAGCAAATAAAATGGATGTCCCTTTACAAACAATATCAAGACAATTTTCATAACATTTGATTGATGTGAGCTTGATCAAGCTGCCTATGACAGTAGGATTATAAAGTGCATTTCTTGTCTTATGATCAAATTGAAATATAAATTTGTGATTTTTAATTAATCTATAACTATATATATATATTTTATTATTGTTACTACAATTAAATATTTATTTTTATTATTTAATACAATGGTCTAAATCATAGAATTAATTTTTTGTGGTGCTATTTTTTTAATGAAATTAAAATTAAAATTAAAATTTGTTTATAATATGATCATGTACATGTGAAATAGGAAAATTTTTTTTGATAAAATTAATGTTTGTATTTTGTTTTGTGTACGGAGAAATGACGGTATTTCTCGACCTATTTCAAATTGTGATAAACTTTCATAATTTTTTTTTTAAGTTTTTAGTATTTATCTGGCTTATACTGGAATTTTGGATTCTTCATTTAAAATGGATTCAACCACTGATATTTGTATAGAACTATAGATTAATTTTGAAATCTATTAAAATATTTTCAGAAAGTAAAAATTTTAAGCTCGTATTTGCAAAATTAATTTTTTTTAAGGAAAAAAAATATTTTTTTATTTTAAATTTTTATGCATATTAATAAGTATAACATACTGGATACTTGGTTTAGTGGTTAGTACACCTAGATTGACACTTGGTTTGGTGGGGATACAATCATATATTTAATTATAAACCATTACATTTAAAACTAATTAAATGACAAGTTACTTATAGAATATGTTACATTATCGAAAGTAAGATGCTTACTTCTCAAAAAAAAAAAAAAAAAAAAAAAAAAATAAGAGTGCTTACTTTTACTCGAATAAAAAAAAAAAAAACGAAAAAAAGTAAGATAGAGTTGTGTTTTTAAAAAAAAAAAAAAAAAAAAAAAAAAAAAGTAAGATATTTGTTTTTTACTATCTAATATCTAATTTGTTTACCCAAAATTTAAAATTCTAATATATATAAAATTATATTAAAATATAACCATTTTTATTCGAGAGAAAAGAAATGAATTTGTTTCCATTTAAACAAAATAATTTACAATAAACAAGGAAAAAATGTATATGGAACAATTATAAGAAAAAATTAATTTAATTGTGTATGTATGATAATAAAAGTGTAACATAAATAAACTTCCTCATCAATATATTTTGAATTCTTTCAATTTAGTTAATTTTATGGAGTCCCTGTAAACAGAATTGCATATTAGATTTTTTGAGTCATAGTGAGTTAGGCCAAACTAAAGAATGAATGAATCATATTTCATGAATTGCATTCTTTTCCCAATTCCAAACCAAACCAAACATGATCTTAATGCATAACTCCAAACTAAACATGATCTTAATGCATGATTCATTTCGGTCGGATTTAGAACGAATTTGGATTTGTTTTAAAAATTCAGTTACCGATGAGTTTGAATATATAAATCCAATTAGTTTTGGATTTTTGATATAATTACCATATATAACTAGCCGAATTTATTTTTAAATCTAAAATAACTAATTTGATTTAGTTCGATTATTATACCATTTGGTTTGAAATTTGAATAAAAAAAAAACACATTCGAATAAATCAAACCGAGATAATTCGGTTTGGTTAACTGAGTGCTCATCCCTCCAGATAGATGTCAAGAAAAAATATGCTGTGGAAATTGCAATTTGTCCTATATGAGGAAAATTTTATATCTAAAAGTTTTTCTTTGACCAACCTCCCTCTTCCATCCCCCACCTCAACACAAAAATACAAAGGGAAAAAAAAAAGAAAAAAAAAAAAAAGGAAAAAAGAGCTTCACCACAGTCTTTTATTATAAAAGATTATGGGAAGAATTAAGAATATACTATGGAGATTAAAAAAAAAAAAAAGAATAGATTATGAAAAAAGAAAAAGAAAAAATGTTGTTATAGATGTACAATATGTTACTTTGATATTCTGCTTCAAAATGACAAAAAACTTTCACACATGAAGCCAAGATCACCAAACATGCTTCAGCTTAATGCATTTAAGACCATCAAAATCAAAGATTTCACCTCTACAAAGTCAAGACTCAGGGAACAAAGAGCTGCACAAAAATTCTTACAACACATGAATCCAGAGAGAAAAACCTAATGCCACACACCAAAAAAAAAGAAAATCTAGACCCAGCACAAGATCCCAATTCAATAAAAAGTCCAGTGTCAATAGAAAGAAGGAAAACAATATGGCAAAGTTAAAATCTCTTTTCAATATTGTTTCATTTCAAGACTGCATAGTAAAATGTATTTACAGGTTTTTGTTTACAAGCTATGAAAAACAACTCAATTCTAATCTCTGATCAACTCAACAAAAGGTTAATGGAAAACTAGATTCATATTCATATGTTATTAAACTACAAGGTACAATCAGAACTTACGAAACTGAGAAGTCCATTTCAGCTGAATTTGTTTTCACATCCTCAAAACCATTTTCCATGTCAGAATCAACATTAAGACTCAAAATGGATTCATCATACCGTTCAAATTCATCCACTTCATCACTATCCATGCACTGCTTCAATTTTTGCTCACACAATTCCAACTTTTCCTCTAATGACGCTTTTTCAGACTCATATTTCATTATAATCCATTGTAATAATTGAATCACTTCTTGATCATATTCTCGTTGTTGCTCTGCCAATCTACGGTATTGATTGGCTTCAATGTCTAAAAAACTTTTTTCACTTTGAAGCCTCAAAATCATTGCCATTGCCTCATCAGCAGCTGATGCAGAGGCCGATCTTTCCTTCTCAAGTTCCGCATAAGCCATTTCTGCTCTATGCCTTTCAATTTTAACCAATCTTTTCAATGCCTTTACATCAAATTCCTCATCTTCAACAAAATTATCAACTTCCTCATTATCATCAGTTGAATCACCATTTGTTTTCGCAGGTTCCTTCTTTGTGAACAGATTATTACCCTTAGTTCCAGACTTTGAATTATCCAAGAATTCCAACGAATTACACTCGCAAGAAATCATTTTAGAACCATTTACTTTATCAAAACCCTTTTCTGAACAAAACCCACATGTTGTCTCACCTGATTTTCCTCTAATTTCACAAAAAAACTGAATTAAACTCTTAACCTGCCAAGTAAATTGCATCAACTTCAATCCCAAACCAAACAACAAAAACAATCCAAAAACATTAAAAACTGGAGAGAAACACCCAAGAACCAAAAACCCACCTTTCAATTCACTATTTCGAGTTAACATTTTCAATAAAGAAGCAAAATCCATCAGAAACAGTCCCAGAAAAACCTTCAAAATTCTCTTATGCAACTCAAGAGCAGAGCAAACCGCAACCAACAAACAGAAACGACCCAGAAACTGCATGCGGGCTCCAGTGAAGATCTTTTCTTTCTTTTTTCCCTCCCTTTCTCTCAATTCAACTTTCCTTTTTCCCTCCCTTGAATCTCTCAATTCAAGAAGTTGTAGCATATAAGCGATTGATGATTGATCATGAAAGGATCGTATTAATGTAGTTGGAAAGAAATGAAAATAGAATTCAATACACTTCTCTATTTGAGTGTCCACAGAAGGAATTACATCTAGACTAGAACTCCCCACGGACTCGCCTTCTATACCAGAGATAGAGAGAGACAAGATAGAGAGAGGGGAAGAGATAGTGTCTGTTTCTGTGAACGTGAGAGTGAGGAGTATATATCGGGAAAGAAAAACCAGGGCGACCAAAACGAGGGCGCTCAGTCGGTTATTTAGACTCGGGAAAATTTAGGAGATATGGTATGGAATTGTTTCTGAAGAAGGAAAGATACGATATGGGATTTTATCTGTATATTAATCAATTAATTGAATTTAATATGACTTTACGTTTTTTATAAATTAGTAAAGATATATTTAGAATTAAAATCTTTTAACTACTCCGAATATTTGAAATCATAATTAATTTTATAAAAATTGACCATAAATGCAATGTAAATGTAAATAAATAACAATGTAATGACAAATATATTTTAGAATTTTATTTACTGAAAGAAAATCGAAAATTTTTATAAATTTTTAGTTTTAAGAATAATTTTAGAATTCAAAACACATATATTTAAATTCAAATTTTAGTTTAAATTCTTAAGTACCACTTTAAATATAAATGACATTTAATTCCACTATCTATTTTTAAATTTTACTTTGTAATGTGATGCTATTTCTTTATAAGTATTTAAGAATCTTTTATCAAAGCCAATTAAGTATCGTCTGATTAGTCTTCTCATTTATACGAGAATTCTAAGTACTCTCAACCGCCACAAGTGTTCTCACCAAATTAGTGAATCCAAAAAAGGTTATCTCTATTGTGTAACTCGCAATTTTATCTCAATTTATTGAATCTATCAATAAATCAAAAAAAAAATCTTCCATTAAAATGTGCCCATAATTCTTTTTTTTTTTGGTCAAACCTAATTCAATGTTCACCAAGTTGTAAACATGTTGCAACCGAGTTATCAAATGTTTAAATAACTTTTTGAATAGCTTTTAACATATTGATAGATTAAAATGTTATATTTTTTTATATTTTTTACAGTTCAATAATATAATATTTAAATTACTTTTAAAGATTAAAATAATATTTTATAAAAAGTTAACCTTTATAATATTTATATTTTAGCGTTTTATCTATCAAACAACTAATCGCATTTAACTTTGATGGTGCATAAATGATATCCTTTTCACCGTCAAAGATCGCTTGATCATTCTATTATGGCATTATCATTTTTTTTATAACATTTAACATTTTGATACAAAAAATTTATTTTTAATTTTAAAAAATTAACTACTGAAAATATTGTTGCTGATTTTTATTTCTATTTCATTAAACAATACTTCCTTGCAATGTCGTTAAAAAATCTTTAACAATTGCCTACTTGGGCAGCAGTAGCTGGAAATTCAGGTGATGTTCAAAGCACAAGAAGAAGGATTTTTTCTATTGTTTTCATCAAAGTTAATATCCCATTTTTTGAACTTTCCAAAATGAATTTCGTAAGCATCAACTTGAGGTTTTCATTTTCTGAAATTCAGAAGCTTTTCTATGGCAGGAAATTAATTAGAATATAACTGATATTTTCTTGATTTTCAGATTAAAATATTTAGCGTTTTAACTGGGATTAAAATGTTAAGAAATACAAAATAATTTTATTAACATGAATAAATTATATTTTATTATAATTTTATTAACATGAATATTTTATTAAAATATTTAGCGTTTTAACATTTTTTTTTTAAACAAGTGAATATGTTTAAACTTTATATATTTATATAGAGATAGATAGATTAGATGTTATATTATTACAGTTTCAAAATGAAACTACACATGAACCAAATTATTTAAATTTGAAATTAAATCATGCTCAATGATTTTCAATTTTAAACTACACATTTGGAAACAACTGTTCATAGTCATTTTTTATAGTTTCATAGTAATATTATTATAAGATAAAAAAAAAGCTAACATTATTAATAGTTTGGAATTAAAAAAAAATAAAAAATGATTACCAGATTTCCAGAAAAAAAAAAAACTTAGTAGGATTTAAAAAAAAAAAAAAGGAAAAAAGGTAAAAATATAAAGTTAGTTATTACCATATTTTATATAAAAAAAACGTTTAGTAGGAATTTTTCAAAAAAAAAAAAAAACAACAAAGAGGAAAAACAAAGAGTAAAAACAATTAAGTTTATAATGGAGGGTAATTTTATCAATTATAATTTCAATGGTTTAATTTTCTGAAATTTATTTGGAAATTTCATCAATTTTAGTAGAATTTAAATATGACACACTCAATTTCATATAATTTAATTCGTAAAATTTAAATCTGTATTTTCTTATTCCAAATGAATTCCATAAATGTTCAAACGGGCTATTAAAATTAAATTTTTAATTAGCATAAAATTGAACATAAAATTTGCAAGAGAAAAGAAAAATAAAAGCAACCTAAAAACTTAATAGTGATTCGTATTCATCTCAAAGCCGTCTAATTAATATTCAAACCCATTTTAAAACGAGTCCTTAAACTTTTAATCAAAGATCAAAATAGTCTCTAAGATTTTAGCCTAGTTTTTAATTTCAGTTGGTTTGGGACTAAAGAAAAAGACCTATTTGCCCTATTCTGATTTTGGCTAGTCTTCTTTTTTTTTTTTTTTTTTTTTTTTTTATCTAGAGTTTTAGCTAGTTTTTAATTTCAGTTGGTTTGGGACTAACAGGAAAAAACCTATGGTTCCTAGTTTTTTTTTTTTTTTTTTTTTTTTTTTGAGTTCAAAATTGACAAAATCATGGATTCACATTTGGTTTGATTCAACTCGAACTTTTTGATAAAAAATTGTTGTGCATAAAAAGAAGCATTCAAGAATGAGTAAAGTTAAATATATAAATTCATCTATCAACTTTTCACGACAAACTCTATGCATTTTCAATTTTTATTTTGATTTATTTAACTTATAAAATTATATTTATTAAACACTTTAATTTATAAAATTATATCGAACATTTATTAGATAATTGAAAAATATGAAAATTATTGTTCTAAAGTTATACTAACTATACATAAATTAATATTTCACGAAAAAAAAAATAAAAAAAATTTAAATATAATTGTTACTAAAAAATTAATATTTCAATGAGTGCAACACATAACATAAAAATAAAGATCTTTTTACCATAAAATATATAAAAAGTTAGATTAGTAGACTAATGAGATATTCTAGAAATTAAATATTAAATGAATTATTAATTTAATTTGAATATGCAAGCACGTAATTTAGTAATTTTGAGCCTCATGTAGTTCTGTTTTTTCTATTTTTTTTGTCTGATATTTTTATGGATGCATTAGAGTGCTAACTTCCTGCAAAATTGAAAATTTATATTACAACTTTGCAAGATAAGCACTGGATGGCTGACTATATTAGGTTTTGGAAAACCTACAAATTAAGGAACTGCATTGATTGGCGCAAGTGATTTTTATTTATCATCTAAATCTCTTCAGGATTGTCGTAAGCACACCCCCACCATATTCAGCAGAGACAAAGACACAACACTCACACGATTGACAGGACCTTCTACCAGTTCACATTTTTAGGTAATTTTTTTTTTTATATATTTTTACAGGAAATGAAAAGCTAAGTTGACAATTGTTTTCATATATGTTTTTAGTGATTGAAATGAACATTAGTAAATTAACCAATTTCATATTAAAAAATAATAATAATAATTAAGATCTCACTTCATATTCTCATAGCTAATTGATATATATAAATTTATATTTGCATGCAGCTTCAGTAATTCTGAAAAATTTTAAATTATTAACTCTTATATGTTGACTTTTAATTAATTATTAGATTTTTTAATTATTAATTTTCAATTTTTTATGGGATTCAATCTTAAGACCGGCATGTTTAAAATGTATATATATAAAAAAAAAATCGATAAATGAAGCATGCGAGGTTGGAAGTTAATGGAAAACTTTTTCTTGGGTTGTTGCAGCGGGAAGATGAGAAACTATCACGTTACTGCGTTTATTATTATAGTACGAGAGAACTAAGATTTCAAGAGCTTATATTTTTAATGATAACCTAATATAATTTTATTAGCATGAATAAATTATATTTTATTATATACATGTATTATTTGTAATGAAAAATATTATATAATAATTGTATTTTATATAAATTATATATTTTTGGACGTCATGAACATGATTTTCTTATTTTCATTAATACGAGATGTGAAGAATAAAAAAAAAAAAAAAAAAAAAAAAAAAAATGAAATAAGAGTGTTTTTCATTTTTGCATAAAAGTCATATGACGCTATCATATTTTACTTATGTTTAAGATCCTTATTTGAAATTTTTTTCTCATATCTTATTCTCCAAAATTTATCCAACAATAATCAATTCACATGCTCCGGTTAAATTACTTTTTTAAAAGTAATTTTTTAGTTAAAGTTAAACAAATTCAATTAATGAGATATTGAAGTAAATTAATTTAGAGATTTAAAATCGAATAAAATTTGTATACAATATCTACCTGTAAAGAATATTTTATTAAGTACGTGGAGTGACACTACTCAACCGTCTCTAGTTTATTCGAAATGCAAATAGATTTTACAAATGGATCGATTTAATGGGAGAAGGATCTTTGGTAATCATCTAGGTAAATAATAAATGAATTTCTTGAAGGTTGATATCTATTTATCTTTGATGGTGAAAGCATAGACATTAACTTTCATGGTAGAAGAATGGGTAGTTTGAATGAAAGATTCTTATAATCTTGATGCGAGTTTGAATGAAAGACTCTCTGTTGGGTTTTATGTTATTTTCTTTGTTTTGGTTTTGATGACCTCTACTTTTCAATCTTCCCATGTTATAGGAGTGTTTTGAAAATCGGATTAAAAGGTCATGGGTTTAAATAGTAAAATCTACAACTTTTTTTTCTTTCTAAAAACTCTGAAATCAACTAAATTCTTTTTGTTAAAAAATTTCATAATAAATAAAAAGTCTAAAAAATCTTATTTTATAACTATAATTAATTAATAAAACATAATTCAATTAACACACAAATATTTTCATATTTTGTGTGATTTATGAATGATTTACATTATTATAATATTTAATTATAAATTATATTTTGATATATCTATTATTATGTTGAATATGCAATATTTAGTTTGGATAATGAATGACACAAAATTAGTAGTCATATATTAATATTAGATAATGTATAATTTGAAAAATAATTATATATTTATAATTACATTATTACT